TAATGAATGTGCTTAACTCAAATGAAATTATTCAAAGGAAAGTATTTACTACGGCATATGGCGCTGAAAGCTAACTTACTTGTAAGCTTCACAACATTTCTTTTCTCAGACTAATGAATGAATAAATATCAGTGGAAAAGCACTTTTCTTTTATTCATTGCACTTGTGAAAGCAAACATTTTTGTTAATTAGTTCTAGTGTTCTATTGTTAGAAAAAAGACTAAGACGAATTGTTTATAAAGTACCTAAATCTTACCTTGAACTTTCAACTTCCACCTAAGAATTGGAATTTGTTTCTTACTAACTAAGGAAAACACTTATTGCCAATACTTCATTCGGTATTCTGAATTTGATAAATGAAAAGAAGGCAAAACCTTGGAGACTTATTATTTCGTAGAGAAGTAGACGAACTTCTAGGAAATCTTTAAAGTGATATTAAAAGTGGGCTATATTTGACCAATCCGCACATTTTCACAATCTTCTTACATCTTACCAGAAATTGTTAGGCTTTTATCTAGTTGTCGGACTACTAATCAATATTGGCGTAGGTATAAACAAAGCAAATTGCCGGGTTTTCTAAGAGGCTGCTTTGCGTTGTTTATTAGCATTCAATGGTTTTCAAGTACAAGTAATCCTGCATATAGTGTTTCAGAGACTTTTGTTTGTTGAGTTCAACCGTTGAAAACCTTACCCTCCCTACTTAAATCGTTGCAAAATGCTGCTGAATTTCGACCGGTAATAAAAACTGGGCACAACACAATATTGAAAGGAAAAAAGCTGGTATGAGTTACGAAGGTCTGCAATATTGGGCATAAAGTGAAATATCTTTGACACTACCATCAAAGGCTGTTGCCGAGTGGTTGTGGACGTTGCAAACTGTCGTAGCCTAATGAAGTCGTTGCTGGGGAACCCTGTAGACGTCTGCGTGTGAGGAAAACGCATTGCAGGTCCATTTTTCAGTGTCTTCAGACCAGGCCTCAAACATCCAAATGTCATTCAAGAAAGTGTTAGCAGCATTGAAATGGAAAGTGTTGCGAAATTCGCGAAGCAATCTTAGCAACGTTTAGCATACATTCTTGCTGATGACTTAGTAAGTGTCTTTGCAGCGCTCTCGTTCTTCTTACGGCACCAGAGAATCGCGAATAAATCTTAAAGCCCAGCGGCAAGTTTGAGATGCCGGGTAAATTGGGATACGAGACAGTTAAGGATTAAAAACTCGCTGCAACACTCCTGTCGAGAAAGTATGTACTTTCCTTACTATCGAGTAAAAAATCCTCCTTTCGCAAAACTTCTGTCTGGTAAAAGCTTCAAGTTACGATCGAGTTTAGTTGATAACGGGAGCCCAGTTTAAACCGATCTATATTATTAAGTTCACGAGGACAAATAAGAAGCAAGAAAAACGTTTTGCTTCTCTGCGTACGACTCAGGAAACTCTCCTGTTCGAAGGAAGTATGTGAATATATTCATTCAGCTTGATGGACTAAACGAAGGGAAATGATTTTCGTAATTTACGTTTATTAAAAAAAACTGTAAAAAAAACTCAAAAGATGTTACAATTGACAAGAAAACGAAACCCAGAAAAATCAAAAAACAACAACCAGCAAGAAGGAGCTAATTAATGTAATGGCAAGAATGTCAGATACACAAAACAAAAGCAAGATTTTTAATTTTTAGCCTTTTATAGTTATTAAGGGCGAACTTATGAATAAAAGATAAAAGAAAAATGTAAGACTTAAGTTTATTAACCTAAATAAAATAAAAAGGGTCAGTGTAAGTCAGTGATTTGCCAAATAAGGTAAGCAAGTTTTCATAACTTTCCACTTTTTTTTGAATATGGGCAGATTTGATGAATACTGTCCCACCAAACAACACTCTACTATCTCTATCAAAGTTTGGAACTGATTTGCTACATTGACAGGCTAATAGAAAATGGACCGGCCCAAATTTAGCTTTGTAAATTTATATGTTAGCTAGCTTTACTGGTATATTAAGTTTGTTGCACCCGGAAGGGCTTATGGTATTAATCGTTATATGCAAAGCGGTCTAAATCTACATCGTCGAACTCAATTTAAGGTTTAAACTCAAGCAGAAATTAGGAATTAGAAATAATTACATGTCCGTCCGTCCGTCTATTTCATTTCTCTTCATGTGGTTTCGTTTTTGTTCAACCTACAAGATATCTGGGGTATTTTGGCCAAAATTGATTCACGCATACGTTTCGGGTCAAGAACGAATCCTATTCAAAATGAAATGCATGATTCCACTGTTACGGGAAGTCTTTTGATAAAATGGTTTTATGAATGGAATTTGTTATGTTCAAAATTTTTCGACAAAAATAGATGAGTATTAAGAATTCGACAAACTATATGGATGTGAAAAATATGGATCGGATGGCCCAACTTTTTGGAACCCCCTCACATAAGCCTTTTATGGGAGATGTGTTTAAAAATTTATGATGAAAACTAGTTCATAATAATAATTTCCCACAAAAATGAACAACGTCTCCGTGCATAAAAAGGATATCCTCTGAGGCGTATATTATATATAAAAAGAAAGGAGATAGCAAAATTGGTCTACATAAATCCATTTTTTTGCTTCTCACTCCTTATAACGAATCTAATGAGTGATAAGGCTTCAAAATAAACTGAAATTCGAAATTTTATGCGACGCCTTCAAGTCCTTGCCGTATAAGTATTTCCATGAAAAGTTTTCCTTTACACGAAAATAATGAAGAAAATACATGAAGGCGAAGTGATGTACGGTACTTAATATAATAGCGCTCGCCGGCTATATTGCTCTAATTTGTTTATTTAAAAAAAATTTTTTGACATGACACTCCGCAATATATTTTTGTCGCCATTTTGTTCTTAGTTAAAAAATGCTATGCATACTGATTCTTGTTTCCTTTATTATACTCTACTCTACGTTTGGTACAAGGATATATCAAGTTTGTGCGGATGTATGCATGAAAAATCCATTTTTTAATGCGCCGATCGATTCGGAGTCACTTTCTGAGTGTTTAGGCTTGTCTGTCCGTCCGTTCGTCTTGTGTTTTGGTATTCCACCTACAGGTCATAGATATTTGCATGAAATTTGGTGTGGTTTTGGCTCAAGGACGAACGATATTGAAAATGGTTCGGGTCGAACGCTTAGGCGAAGCAGTATAGGGTATTTAATGGTGCGTCGTGGTCCACTAGAATGTTTTCACTTGTTTATGTCAAAAAAAGAAGCAAAAAAGTTTTAATTGGACATATTCCCGGATTTTTAACGATTGCAGGTCTCGTTTTATTACATCCGATTCACTACTTAAAGTCTCACTTGGTGATCTCATGGAGATGGGTACGATCTCATCTGAATCATGCATAATTAATCGATATTCTACTAACTAAACTAAATTATGAGAGATAATCAATCATTTCTGAAACGTTTACAATACTTGTTTACATTCAGAATAAATCATCATTGATATCCTTCTTCATCTTCATTCTATCCGTCTTCAACTTTATTAAAATAAGATAAAAACTTCAGATGTGTCTGGGATGTAAATTATTCGACAGATCGTTAAAAAAATTGTGATTTTTTCTCCTGTGAATGGTGCTTCCAAGCTATTCATATTTTGAATAGTTTGGCTCAGTTTAAAGGCATTTAGTAAATTCTAGGCCTCTAGACCTGTCTACCGTTGATACGACAACTATCAGCTTTCTTTTGCTTTTCCTCTTACCTCTTACCGACATTCTCTTTGCTCTCTGCTCTTCCCTCTCATAATAAAAAGTGAATTTCATAATTCATAATGAGTTGAGTCTTGAATGATCGCTTGATTTATCATACGATTCATTAATTCATAAGACAAAACAGAAAGAAAAGAAAAAAATAGAATTTTTGCTGTCATTGGATTTGTATGGGTCAGTGTCCGTACGTGTGTTCAACATACACCTGCTTTTATGTAAATATTGTTTGTTTATCTTCCATAGTATTCTATAATGTGCAACATATGCATTAGAAAGGCATTTCAAAAGGAAAACGGAAAAAAGAATATAAGAAAAATACACTAATACACGGAAAACATTAAAATAAATTTAAAGCGAAATACCGACAAAGTAATAAAGACCATGAAATATATAATATAATAGTGAAAGGTATATGTGTTTGTGAATTTGTATATGGGTTAGTAAATGACTGAACTATTTCTCATGTGAATTTGAAGTGGCTGTGAGTGGCTTTGGGTGTCAGTATATTTTTGTGTACTTGTGTATAAGAAAAAGCCCAGCGGAAAATACAAATTGTTGCTTCTTGGCTTTTTAGAATAAATGAAGAAAAAAAAAAATCTAATAAATAAATTCGATTCGATAACGTATTAAGCCCCACCACCTCGATGAAAAGGAAAGCGTCTACCTTATGTCTGTGCGTCTGTCTGCTTAATGCTTAACAAGTCGTATGAAAATTAAAATTTTAATTGATTGTAAAGCTTTTGTTGATGAATTGACTGATTGCCAATGAATGCCTCTCTAGACAATCCACAAGCTCGCTCTTTAGTTTAGGTTAAGAAAGACTTTGGAAGATTTCTTCTACATGCTTGTATATATATATATATATATATATACATGTCGACGAATGTTTATCGCGACTTTACCCCAGGTGTTATAGTTAGCCTGAAATATTAAATGGTTTTTCTAGAGATACTTTAGGTGGTGGGTATCCAAGATTCGTCTCAAGGCGAATATAACTTTCCGGTTAATTTTTCATTACAGTTGAAAATATAATGTAAAATATATTCTATTGTTTTTTATAATAATGCTGAGCAGGACTACAATGAAACCGTGTTTTATGTTTTTTTTTTTTTTTTTTTGTTTCTCTGATTACTTATCTTAACATCTATTAAATTAAAGATATGTGTGATGAATTATTTACTGATTGATTAAATTTCATTCATTTAAACTTGATAAGTTTTTGATCGATTTTACTTTTTTCTTTTTTTTTGTTGTGCTTCATGAAGTAATTACCTGTTTTTGAGCCATAGCCTGCATTTGTTGGAACATTTGACGCTCTTCCTCTTTACCTAAAAAGCACAAATGAAAGAAAAAAAAAAAAGAATGAAAATTGACGTTGCTTCACGTTTAAGTTTATAAAGCGTAACCCATAAAATAACCGATTATCGTTAAAGGACATGAATTTGATTTGGAAAATTTTATCGACTAAAATTAATGACTTATACGCTGAAGACTTAAAAGCATTAAATGGGAATGCTACGTACCGCCAAGGCAACTTAACAGTTCATTAAAGCAAAAAAAAAAAAAACAACGAAAACATTAATTCTTCTGTTAACACTTTACCCTGAGCCTGAATTGGTCAAAACAGTAACAAAAGCCCATTGAATTGCTACCATTGCTACCATTGGTGTAGAGTGGTTGAACAAGACCACATCGCTTGGAGACTACTTGGAAGAAACTGGACAGACGGGGATTAACAAGCCCGGGTAACGAAAGTTAGTGTAGCAACAAGGGTCGTCTAAAATTGGAGCGTAACTTGTGTGTTACCATCTTTTCATTGAGGGTGCACCAAAATCCACAGATCTTTAATTATTGATTTAATAATTTCAGATTGAGTACAATAAACTTCCAAGGACGCAATTCTTAGTCCACTTCATTAAAATCCCTAAAGAGCTACGATAAATATTCAATAACTTTAATGTAAAAATGTAATGCTATTACATGACAGCCGACTTAGACGCCCACGTAGGAATACAATTCAAAATGAAAGTCCTATAGTAAACGATAAGGATTAAGCTTAAAACCTATTGTACATTTTCCTTTACTCTCTTGCTCTAAAAGTGGAGTGCTAACAGTGGAGTGCTAAAGAGTCAACATTAATACTCACAATTAAATGCTCAATAATATTTAATAGCTTTCTAGCCTAAGAATATCTTCGACAATAAAGCATAGCGTTTCAAGAAGAGATATCCCGCAAACTTCGCGATGTTTCTACACACTTACCTTGATTTGGCCAGGAGGCCTCTTAATCTAACTTCTTCCGTTACACAAATGATATCATCTTCTAAAATTCATCTTCTTTTTCGCATAATTATCAACTGACTTGACACCCTCGATAGTTTCTTCTTGAATTTGTCATCGTTTAATCGCAACGTCAATCAATAAAAGTGAAGAAAGAAATTCGCCACAATGTTAACGTTATTTGCCTAATATTATATGGAGTTGGTCGGGACCTTTAGTTCGTCGGACACTTTGCAATAGACATAAGCTACACATATGCATTGTTATTAATCAAAAATGCAGCGCCTCTTTGCCGCTCGTGCCGAATTTTCATTTGATTGATATTTTTTAGGTTATGTCGTGATACTTATTTTGATTTCTTTTCACGTCATGACTTGTCAACAGTATTGGTTTTAAGAAAGTTTGCAAATTATAGAAATTTGTTTTTTTTTTTTTTTTATTAAAATTCGCTTTTGAACACGAGATATGCACCATTGTCAACCAAGAAATGTTCCAATAAGCGCAAAATTGCATGTATTGTGAATGGAATCGTATCATCATCATGTATATGCGCTTGATAATGTTCTCGTGACAATGAGATTCAAAAGCCTAAAAAGTGAAAAGATTCTTATCTTTGTAGGTGGGAGTGTTGACGGTGAGCGCAGTTAGTCGAGATATATTGTTAAATGGGAAAAATTTTTCTGATATATAATCTATGTCGATTTTTGAATGTTCTTTAGAAAAGGTGTACAAGTGTGCATGCATCAGCCTCAAAAGCCGAAAGGAGTAGAGAGCACGTTGGCTTTGGTTAGAATTAATTGATACTTTGCTTAGGAATTAAAAATTTCTGCGACAAGATGGTGAAATATTTGCAACAAAGACATTCGGCGATGTGTGCTTAAGGCACAAAAGCGACACGAGTGACAGGAGAAAGGGATTTTTATCATTGTTCAATTGTGAATATAAATTATGCAATTAAACGATTACCGAACGTTTTTAAGTCTTTTCGAATTTTACTACCTGCAGGTCATTTTACTTGCCACGTAAGCCAAGGTAAGCAGGTGGAAAGTAAGACAGATCTACTTTCTACACTTCATCAATTGATTGTTGCCAAATGCCGAATGAATTAGATGACAGTGGATAAAGACCACTCATCCTATTACATTTGGTTGGATTTTCCAAAAAGAAAAGAATGCATCGGTTGCTTTTCAAAGCCTATGTGGCAGATTGCAATGTGGGTTTGCAAATGTTTTGCCATATTTCATTGTAGAGCTGCTCAGCCTGAAAGAAGTTCTTCGATAGGAGCGGCAATCCATTTGACATTTTGCCGCCCATGTGAGACAGTAACCCATATTTATCTTCTAGAATGTTTGCAAAGACATTCGGCATTCCCGATTGAACTACGGCGAGTAATATATCAAAGTTACACTGAAAGAAACTTATCACGCTATGTGACAATCTGTTCAAATGTTCTTTTTAGAAACAATGTGGAACCGTTTTTGGACAAACTCATTACGGGAAATGACAAGAGACTATAAAAGGATGAAAGTACTTAGAAAGAAAACATATCTGTGACTGGGGTAAGGCATATTTTCATTGCATTTTCGATATATCTACGCACGCGTAAGACCTAAAACTGAAAGGCGGAAAGAGAATTACTTATACTGTACTTAGAAAGGAATCATTTCTGCGGCTAGAGTAAGGCATATTTTAAATATGTTCATGTACGCTTAAGATCTAAGACTAACTTTATTAAAACGACGGGTAAGTAAGAAAAGTTACTTCGTTCAAGAAATAGTGAAGGTCAGTTAATATCCGAGATCTATATAATCTTGTAAAACATAGCGGACCTAAATTCAGAGTATGAGCTCATGTATCACATCGAAGAAGATGAATATTTTCTTCTCAAGACTATTCTCAGCGATTAACGGTTGCGTTAAGAACTCGAAGCCTTTTTTGAAATGTCTATATATGGATCATCAAATACTCTGTTTAGTAAACGCTTCTTATCGGCGGAACTCCTTATTGCAATGAACCATACTAGGCGAAGACATGGCGTCCAATATTGTAGCGTAAAATTCTTCATTACGCGTTGTTTGGGACAAACCGAAACAATACTCTATCTGCGCGCAACATGTCATACGCAACGGCGAAGAATCAAATTATTGAAGACGAGACGCTACAAGGACCGTTCTTAATAACAAGACGAATATGATTTGTTTGCTTCAATCTTAACAATTTTGACATTTATTGATAATGAAATTCAATGCAAATTACTTTGCTATAAGCTTTGAAAATAAATAAAATATGTCAGCTTGTTTTGGGACACCTTTTAAATTCAGCATGTTATAAAACTAACGGTCAATGAATAAATTTTTATGATCCGAGTTTGTCATATGTGTGTACTTTTTATATAAAAATTTTAAAACAAACTATTTCCTTAACGTTGCCAATTGCCGTGTTTGTGTACGTTGTGATTGTTGTTATTATTATTATTAATGTTGTTGTTGTTGTTGTTGTTGTTGTTGTTGTCATTTTTGCTATTGGTATCTTGTAAGTGTTGACCACCGTAAGCACAGTTGGTGGCAGCGACATTTGTTATTATTATTATTTGGTGATTATTGTTACTTACCCATGCCTTTCGCTTGCAACATTTCTAGCAACTTTTTAATGCTTTCATCGCGTGCAATCAAAGTTTGCTTCTGGGTTTCCACACGACATTCCAAATCTTTGATTGTCTCACGTAATATGCTAATTTCGCGCTGTAAATGATCATTCTCAGCGTATACAGCCTCGATTTGTTGCTGCATTTCAATATTGGGTTGACGCATGCGCAAACGCAATTCTTCCTCTAGTTGACGCACCAGCATTGCTTGTTTCTACATTTGCGAATGCGCGCACATATGCACATATGCATGTGCCCACAAACAAAAAAAAAAAAAACAAATAAAAATGCAGACATGAAAAGGAAAAAGAAAAGAAAACCAAAAAAAATAAATAAATAAATAAAGAAGAAATCATTTACTACGAGTTCATTAGCCAGAAACATATGAGTACAAATGAAAAACAATTAACTTTTTGTAAGACCTTTTTTTTTTGTTTTTTTTGTTTTTTTTTTTTTTTTTTTTTTTTTTAAGAACATTACTTTATTTTCAGTGCTAAGCAGCTTCAGTTGATCGTTAATTAAACTGTACTTGGCGCTTTCCTCTTTGCGTAACGCACGCTCCTTTTTCAGTTCCGGCGACCAGAATGTCTTAATGCTATGCATGCTGCTGCCGAGCTTTTGATTTGTTAACTCAAGTTCGCGTTTCAATTGTGCTAATTCTCGCTGCAAATCAGAATTTTGATGTTGTAAATCGCCCAGATATGCACGATCGGTTGGTGGTAAACCAGCTCCATAACCTAAATAAAAAAGTTTACAATTAAAAAACAAGAAAGGGAAAAAATGTTTGAATTAATGGAAGGAAGGATCTTTTATATATATATATATATATACCTATAGGATTCGGACTTTGCCGAGCGGAACGTCCGTAAAGCTCATCTTCTAAATAAAGTCCTCTTTCGAGTGATCGATCGCGTGAACGATCTCTCGGTTCACGTATGGGTATGAACTCACGATCATGATGATCGACAAGACCACCTCTATCCAATGATTGATATCGAGTTTCTATACTCAATTGTAACAATAATTTGTTATACAATTAATGAAAAAGCAAAAAAAAATTAAAAAAAAAAAAGAATAACAAAATAATTACTTGGATAATCCATGGCATGAGACATCGGTGGTCTGCTAACACTTCGACTCCTATGATGTCCCGGCCCAGCGGGACTTGTCGGCTCATCCATGTCTCTATAGTACGGGCTGCCCATTGCTGCAATTCACATAATTATGATGATGATATTATGAGGAGATGAGGGTTGTTGTTGTTGTTGTTGTTGTGGTTGTGGTTGTTGTTGTCGTTATGGTGACGATGTTAGTGGTGATGGTGGTGGTAGTGGTAGTGGTAGTGGTGGTGATGATAGAGTGATTTAGTGGTAGCGATGGTAGTAGATTTTGGGATCATTTTTGATTTAAGAGAGAGAGTGAGTGCATGTGAGAAGGATTGGGTGGACTCATTTTGCTTTTTAAGCGACTAATAACAGTTTCAATTTATGTAAATAAAAAGGCAATTGAATCACAAACAAAAAAAAAAAAAGAGACGAAATTAAAAACTTGATTAAAATAAAACTATCGTTATGTGTTCATCTGATGGGAGAGAATCCTTTATCGCACAAAAAGCAAACAGACGGAATCTTTTAACTCAACTAAGCTTGGCTGACTTTTATCATATATATATATATATATATGTTTTTTTTTTTTTTTTTGCTTAGGTTCCTTATGTTTATTATGTTTGTTATGTAAGAGAGTGTTTTTATGTTTATATAGAGTAGAATGAGATCCAGGGTTAAACTAACCATAATTGTAATCCAGTTTGAGACCGTTTCTTGCTTAATCGCTCAAAATCACAAAGAAAAAAAATTGTTTTTCAAATATTTCCCACCGTAGTTACGAACGGGACGAAAACGATCGCCTCGAACAAAAACAAAAAAAGTAACGGTGGTCGCTTTTGTAGTATACAAGACCGTATAACTACTACGAGATTTGCTGCAGCTATTGCTGATGTTTGTTCTTTTACAATTCTACAAATTTTTTTTTTTTTTTTTTGAAGAACAAAAAGAACAGAATCAAAAATCAAAAGAAAAAGAAAAAATCAGAAAAAGCGATGATGAGATATATTCATGTTAATGTTGTTGTATTATATTATGAACGATGTCGTTTGATTTTTTTTTTTTTTTATTATGAGCGTTTTTTTTTTACGATTTAATTGAACACAAAATAGTTTTGAAGAGAAATAAAAAAAAAAGAAACAATGAAGTGATAAATAATAAATAAATAAATAAGTAAAAGCGTAATTTGTATGAAAGAAGCAACGAAGAGAATGTTACATGCGCATGCGTGATGTAAAGAAAATAAAAATTATTTTAGGTTAAAATAAATTTGCAAAACTCTCCCATCATAAAGACGAAAGAGTTAAAGAGTTAGACAAAGAGTTTATAAATGAAGAAAAATTGAAGTAAATTAAATTAAATTCAATGGACAAAAGTATTACGCATTTGTCGTTTTAAGGAAATTTCTTCGTCCATTGAAGTAATCGATATTTAATTTAATGCTTTTAAATGTATACTATACATATATACATATATATATATATATATATATATATATATACGTATATATATATGTATATATATATACGCAATTATATAATTACCTAAAGGACTTCCTCGTGTACCGTAATCCCGCGATGGTGAACGATCAACTGTTGGTAATTCGGTTAATCGTCTTGAACGACCCGGGCTACGTACACCAGAGCTTGCTACAGGATTGTAATCGTCTCGTGACATAATACGCCGCGGTTAAGCCGCGGGTAGTGACAATAGCACGCCTTCAAATCACTTTCGCTAAACGTTTGTCCTTTAATGCAACCAGCTTAACTAAATCTTAATTGCTCGATATATTCGACACTTTCTAGCGGGTCTAACTACCAATTGTAGATCTGAAAATGAAAAGAATATATATATTATATATGTGTATAGATTAGCATTATATATATAATAGGTACAATTTTGAATTACACAAGGCCGGATGTGTGAACTAAGACGAGTGGGATGACGTAAAGTAAAAATAAAATAAAAAATTGTACATTTTTTCTTCATTGCAGTACAAGTGTATATTAAGTTTGTGCTGATATATGTAATGCTTTTCGTTATACCGATCGATTGAGAAAGTAATTTGAATGCAAGTTTTTCTCTCCTTCTGTCTGTCTATCTGCTCGCCAGTGCATCTGTTCATCTTATTTTCTTGTGTTAAATCTACAGGGCGCACTTTGTGATGAACTTTGGTACACCGATATATTCTGACTAAAGGATGAACGTTACTGAAGATGGATTGAACAACTTCTTCGACCAATTCCCTTATTTTAAAGGTACTTATATGAATAAGGGGAGGATGGTGAAATGGGCTATAGGCCACTATTGTGCTCTTACTTGTTTTATTTATAGATAAGCTAGGTTATCAAGTAACAATTAAGATCGCATTCTAGACTTGAATGACTAGAGAGAATTTTTCTCTCTACATTAATTATAATGCTTTTCATATGATTCTTAAATTTTTTAGTCATATATTGCTATCTGATAGGACATTGATGTGAACAACAAAGTAAAAAAGTAATATACAACAATTGCAATAACTTTGTTATCACCGATAATACCGAGCATGTCAACCGATCGTTATGGTTTAACATTGGGTTTGCAGATGGCTTAGCGAAATGCGTTCATAACATTTTAGATCGACATCTGTTATGGGTTACCAACAATCATCCTTGGCTTATTGTGGGCGTGGTTGTGGACGGATGACTTACTTTTTTGGCCATCAGCGCCGGATGGGCCAAGGGATATGACTACATCGACTCAATGAAAAGCGAAGACGAAAAGACTGAAACGAGACCAGTGTCCCAGTGTTCCAGCAGATGCACGACTGGCGAACGATTTCAAGCACCTTATCTCAAATTTCACTCGTCTAACCTTTGCCAACAAACGGAGCGTCCGGGTAATGCGTTATTTTATTATAATGCTTTCGTAGCGAATTATACTACGATGCGACTCTCTATCACTTATGAGAGCCCTGGAAATAACTACGATTTTATTGGTTTTGTTTCATTTCCAGTTTAGCTAAATATAAACATAAAATATTATACGCAGATCATGCAATTTCTCTGCTTCAAATCACATTTAAACAAAAAAAAACGCTTTCGATGGATAAGAAAAAATTTCATTGTTTTAATTGCTTAGACTTCGGTTGAGCTCTTAGCTTTGTAAAGAATGCATCAAATGTGATATTGTAGGTATTGTATTGAAACGGTATACACAGTCCCTCAACCCAAATTTTACGTCAATTGTGTTCATCCTCTCTAAGGTAAGGGACTCCCTTTTGACTGTGAGCCTGTGAGGCATATTGTGCTAGGATTCGCTATAAAAATGAAAAGGATTAATCTTAACATTATGATTAATCCCAAATTTTGCATTCCAAGTAAAAGAAAAAAAATTCCTATAGTTCATGGTCAGTGTTACTTAACTTATAAACTTAGCGCATATATCACGATAAGTGTAAAGCCAAAGTGAAGAGTATTCAAAAAATCGGTTTAAATCGAATGTAATAACTTTTTTCTTGTTTCTTCTAAGTGGGTAGAGAGCTAAGCCTAAACTTTTTTCAAGTGAGTAGAATCAATAACAATTTGTTTAATTCATTGCTTGTAAACGTATTTTCATGCAATGTCTTGTTAGTTATTCAAACTACTGTACGACAAAGTTTCATACATTAATCAAGAGTTTGTTTTTGTTTTGTTTTTGTTTTTTTTTTTAACTATTGATTATATCTCAAAGCAAATGGTTAAATTTGCATAAACTATATAATTGAGATAATTTCGCGATGCCAAAGTACACTTATCCCTCAATTTACATTTTAAAAATGTTCTGATAAAAACAAGCACTCTTTTCACAGCCAATTTTTCTTTATTTTGTTCATAGAGCATACTGGAGATAGTGCCGCACGCAATAATAAAGTAATAAAGTTCATTTAGTTAAGATTGTTAATGAAAGAAACAATCACAACAACATGTGAGTGTAATGAGAAGATGTCTGAACTAGTGATAGAAGGGTAGAAGAGCTAGATACCGAGTGCTTTAGAATTGAGCTGGGTGGAGAATTGACTACATGCTCATTTTCTAAAAGGCACATTAAATTTTAGACAAGCCTATGAGTACATTAATCTATAATGTAGGGGGCAGAAGTTCTCTGTAAGGATGGAAGCAAAAGTTCGGTACCTTTCTTAGTTATGGGTTTTCATTGCAATATCTTGCCGATTTGAAGTTGTTCACATTACGTTCTACAGAATGACAAAAATAAACTCACATCAATCGGCGGAAAGCAGGTAACAATAAGTTGAAGCAATGATAGCATTACTTGATTGTTGGATTAAATGTTAGAGCATTAATACGATCATAGGACATTCCTTTCAATGGCATTCTTCGTCGAATTTCGTTTTCAATAACTCCACTCTTTCCTCAGATATGCAGAACCTTCCCATAGGAGCTATATGATGGTTACACTAAATTTGGTGTAATTGTTCATAAAAATAATCTTTCCTTACTACTTGATAGAACTGCTCCGCCATTAAAAATAAAAAATAAAAAAACAATTAATATTCCCTTCTCGCCTTTCCCCTACACCATTTCACCTTCCTTAATGTCTGCTCAAATTACAAAAAAAACTCGGCTCCAAACTTTTAAATTTTTTTTTATATATATGTAATAATCTGGGCTACTGTTTTGGCTCAAATCGGTAAGAATCACAACTACAAAGTCAATGTTTGCGGGTTCAAATGCGGGTTTACTTTGGCCGTAGCTTTATTGAGTGCTCAGTCAGTAAGAGCATAGCACTTATCGATTGGGCGCACAGACCCCCTTCTCCTCCCTCTACTTGCTTCTAACTCTCACCGTGTTACAGGCATGAGGGGCCTACCCCGAGTAAAATATCACATTAAAAAAAAAAAAATCAAAGAGTTTACTAAGCTAGAGTCCGCCAAGCTTATATTTTTTGACAGTTTTGAAGTAAAGAAAAACTGTCATACTAATTGCAAAATATTAAATATTTGTGGAAGCTTTACCCATATAAAAGAAGAAACTTTGACTTTTGTTACAATGAAAAACCAAACAACAAACAAGAAGGTTATATTCAAACTAACTAAGAATTAAACTTTCATGCTCTCTAAAACGGAGTGGGCGCGGCTGAGTTTTTCCATTTACAAAATAATTGTGCGCGTTACAAGCTTGTCCTAGGGAAAGTTTCAACTTCTTTTGCAAATGTATAGGCGTTACCGCGCGGTCGCGCAAACAGATAGATGGACCGACGGACATTTTTAAGTGCATTCCAAAGGTGAAACTGACCAAAAATATATATAGTTGATGTTGTCTTTGAAGCTTGTTTCTGTGCGTTGTCAAGGTATTGGAAAAAAAAAAAAAAATTTTAATACATTATAATATTGGGTAGGCGGGGTCGATGTCTTCCATTTTGCAGCATCGCGTATTGAATATACAATTACTTGTTATAATTTGTGAGTAGTGTGCTTGTTTTTAGTTCCTTTTGAAAAACAGAGATACTCTCAAGACCGTCCTTCGACTTATTTAGCCCATTTTCAATATCAACCTGCATACAAGAATTTCTAATGTTTTTGCCAAATTTGAAGAAGAAATTTGAGCATACACAAAGATGGATAGGCAGACGTGGTCAAAACTGACTGACCTGGAAATGTGCAATCTACATGCTCGATTACATCTTAAAGAACGAACTCTGGAATAAATCTATAAAGCTATCAGAAAAAGTTTTCAATTTCGTTGTGACATTGTTATCAAAACTTCGTATATATATGCCACACATATAATAGTGGGGCGCGGTCGATTAGCAAATACGGCACAGTGCGTTGTATCATTTCGACCACCTCGTATACCTTAGGAGTGGTTCAAAAGGTGGTTCGAATCGAACCCCTTTCGACAACTTTCGTCCTTGGGTCAAAACACGTCGGTATACCAAAATATATCAAAATATCTTCAAAATTAGTACGTATAGGTTGAACACAAGAATATAAGAGGGATGGATGGACAGACGATACAGAAAGTGATTCTTAAGATAATTTTGAATTAGTTATTATAATAAAATGTGGGCTCATCTCAAGTGCTTCTAGGGTTTGTACAAATCCGCACGAACCTAATGCACTCTTGTACCACAAGTAACGTAGGATGTAAAAATTATAGAGAAGTGAGACTGTCATCGTTTTTGATAAGGGATGATGCGATAGTATCGCAATGGAATTAGATTTTCCTAATAGCTTTTAATTGTCAGACATCTAGAGTGGTTTGTGTCTTTAAAATTTATTATGAGATACTTTGTCTATTGTATTTTTTTCAATTATATACACGCACTTGATGATAAATAGCAGCTATTATAACATGACGCAAGATTTCGCTTTTTATTTATGTTTACATTTTTTATAAGCATTTCAAGAAGATGCGAACGTGTGTGAAGACAAGAGTTAGGCTAACCACGTAAGTAATAATGTTGCTTATTGAGTCTCATCTTTAAGAAAGAGTTCTCAATGATATTAGTGTAACACCATTATTCGGAAGCTAGGTTGCTTTTAAAGGTTATGCGGTTTATTTATATATTGATATATTCTCAAGTACAAGTACGCAGAAGATCGATGGACTCGAACCATCAACAATACTCTCGTCCTTGCAATGCTCTCTACACTTTTAGACCGCTTCAGATCGGTCAGCAGAACGACTATATCTGAAAAACGATTGCAAAACATATAATACTATGGCCAAAAAGTAAGACCAATATTCAGATTAAACTGTGCAGGTATCGGAAATGGGTTTTATCTCTAAACTGATCACGCTTTGACAGACACTTGTGTCAAATTGCATGTTATAGACGTCTTTAG